ATATATATATATATATATTTTTTAAATGGAGGTTTTTTTCAATCATTACTCATGGCGAAAAAGTATTTAGTGAGTAAAGTATGTAAAGGATCAATGTAAAGGGATCCTTTTTAGGGGAAACCTCAGATGATTCTTACAGTGTAGAATTACCGTCTGAATGCAAGTGTTGTATAGCTTTGAAAATTGTACATCTTATCTCTAATTAGTGCTGTACAGCTAAATCGTACCGTCTGTTGAGGCAAAATTCTAGTAACAATCAAAAACAGTTGGTAAAAATATACCTCGCGCTTACACGCTTCAAAATTTTATCAGTCAGATAAAAAGATTATATCGCCCGCATTGACGGTCACTATACTTCTTTGTAGGATCGCTGACATCACCGTAAATATATGTCATTTTAAGTCCCGCTGACACTTTCATAGATAAAGAAGGAACGCATTCCCAAACGATTTTGATAAACCCTATGTAAACAGACTACCGCACGGCATGTTTTCATGTTCAAACATTTTTCCCGTTCGTTATTGCACGGATTTATATTACAAATCCGTGGTTATTGATAATGAAGCAGACCATTTTTAGTTGGGACGTAGTCCCAACTAGTGCACTTACAAACCCGAAAATTCCAACCATACAGGGTAACGCCCACTGATGTGACGTTTCATCGCCACTCTAAATGCTATATTGTATTCTAACATATCAACGTAAAAGCTGAATTCATAGTGATCACCCGACCATGACCGACGCATAAACCGCCGCGAGTGAAAAATAGTGCTCTGAATTTCTGAAAACTTCGATTTATTGCGAACAGAAGTGGAGACAAGAAATTTATTTTTTGAAAATAATGTGCAATTGAACTTGAATTACGGTATTAGAAACGTAGCGGATATAATTTGAAAGGTCACATAATTCTATGAATGGGATAGTAAAATTAATTGGGTCATAGTGCTTGACGGCTTGCAATATTTTAACTTACTCATCCGGCCTTAACATCACATTTTTTTGTATTATATTCCAGAATTTTTGAAAAAAGACATTATTTATCGGATAAATGTTGTAGTTTATAATTGCAAAGTGGATATTGAAATAGAATTAGCCAGAGATGTAGATAATCTATTCGTCTCTGAATTAGCCGATAAGTAGGTTAAATGAATCCGACAACATCCGGTATATTTTTCGACCTACTTCACGAGCATAATTATCAGCCTGTTAAGCTCATAAGGTATCCTCGTACTGCCTCTTTCCGATCAGCTAACAGATTTTTCTACAATAACTGACAGTGAAATTATATTAAAAAAATTTCTCTTTCAATTCTGCGAATATTATCATTTTAGCTAATAAATGCACCAACTTTTTAAAATTTTACCTGAATTATTTATTATGAAATTGAGGATAAATCATTACTGACCCATTTTCCTGTTCTTCAAAATTTCACAACCACTTTTCAATCAGTTAACAAAAATATAAACTGTACACATAAATATTGTCATACAATGTTAAAAATATAATCAGTTTGTATTATGGAGAAATTTTGACAAACTCAACTTCAGATAAATGGTAATAAACAATTTTAACCTAATTATAATGCCATTTTTTAATCTTGATATCTATTTTGCAGTGGTAAAGCTGTCACAATTGGGGTATGGATGTACATTTCAATTTGCATAACAGAAAAAGCATGTTCTTTTTGTGAAAATTTTTAGGATCTTAAGGTCTATATGACACCATTCTAATTGACAGCTTACTGAAAAGTTATAGTGAGAATGTTATTTCCTTGTTTAAGTGACTGTTACTTTACTGATGTATAACCTTCCAATTGAGAATTGTATGGTAAAATAATGTACATATTAAAATTATAGCTTTTGAAGTGCAGTAATATTATGACTTCAAGATATTGAAACAGTTGTTCAACCTAATATCCATTTCCAGCAGACTGACAAAAAACTGAGTCTGTAAATCAATTATTTTTTTAGAAAATTATTGCGATTTGATAACTGGCTAAATAAAGGATTAGTGGAAAACACACATTTCACATATTTTTAACTAAAATGCTAGCATTTTCTTTTTTATCGCCATAATTGACATTGCTGCTAATAAATGTAGTTAAGGTGAATGCAAGATGTGCTTACAGTTTGGTTACATGACAAATAAGGTCAAAAATAAATAAATTCTAGGGGTGATTGAAAAGTGGTTGTGATTGAAAACTGGCAGTATGTGGATATGTTATAAAGCAAAATATGTTATGAATTTGATGACTTATAATATTAAGTTTATTTATTGATGCCAATTTGTTTCCGAAAACTAAAACTTTCGTAAATAATTTCGAAGTAATTTGGAGATCTCGAGTCTTTCGTACCCAAGACATTTCGATCATACTTAGACTGCAAAACCGACAGATTTTACAAATTGATATTACACAGGTGTCTGCCTTTACAGGAAAACCGGCATATATACGCCTACAATTTTGTGGTCTTGTCACGGCCGTTACATAACGAAGTGCGCAAATGATCTAAAGGTTTGTACAAAGATTAGTGTTCTAAACATTCATCAAATGGTACATTTATCTGGAAAAAAATATTTCAGTCCCATCATGACAAAATACCTCAATGGAACCCCTTTAAATTGAATTACACTTTTTTTTAATGTATGGGTAAATTCCATTTTCAGTGGTTGAAATTTTTACTCTTTTCTGATTAATCAAGCTATAGTTTCCCATTTATAAAGCCACAGGTTGTTTTCAAAGTTGAAAAAAAAATCACTGCCACCTTGATTAGAGCTGTCATCGATATCGACAATATCGATGTATCGTTGATATTATTTTGTCGATCAATAATCGATACACATTTTTAAATTTGGAAAAAATCATGCAGTGGACAAGACACTGTACAGAACATGTTTTTGACTGAAATCATTGAAACAGGTATGAAAGTGAATGACAGACAAGTGAGTTTAGGATATTATCGATATATCGGTGTATCGTTGACTTTAGTCACTTGATATCGATATATCGTTGATATGCTTTGCACAGAATCAATGACAGCTCTAACCTTGATAATTGTTAACCTGAAAAATCTTCAGGCACTTAAAGGGATTTGAACCCCAGACCTCTTGATTACAAGGCAGACACACAACCATGTCGCGAAAATGTCAACACAACAGCAAGACTGTTGGAAATGATCTATACCTGTTCTCAATACATGGTTGAAGTAATTTATCAGTGTTAATTAGACATTTTATATGATTTAACAATTTTTGACACTTACTGATATTCACATTTTTTTCACAAATCTACATGTAAAAAATAGATATCATAATAAAATGATAGAACATTTTCTATTTTAGTGGTAATACTGTGGAGTAATATGAAGAAATATTATTCATATTTTATTATCATATTTTTTCAAATTTTAATTATGTCATTACATGCTGTACACAATCATATTATAGTGTAAACATATATAAACATTGTATAGACACATATATACATTGTATATACCAGAGACGTATAAAATGTATTTATATGTCTCTGTATATACACACACTAAGAGAGTAGTATTGGATGATTTTGAAAATGAAATCTCTAAATTGATATTTTCAGGGAAATAAAGATTATTTACTTTAATATTCACTTGGAAAGGCTGGTACATGTAGCTAGAAAAAAGTACAGTATAAGATTAAAGAAAGACTAGAAGATTATTACAAACAACAGGTACTTATATAATATTTAATGTATATTTCACAAACCAAACTGTTTTCCAAAAAAAAATTAATGAAAACATGCATTTTTACCAGTGTCACCATGGGTCAGATTAACAGACCCATTCCCAGTGGCAAATACTGCCAAATATGCTTTTTTTCTTTTCCAAGTTTAGAAAAAAATCATAAGTCAAAATTCCCGTTATCAAAGCTGACAATTTTTCTTCATTCCATTTCAATCCAATATGGTACCAGACAGATGATGTTCAAAAAACACATTCCATTGTCAATTTTTTATGTATTTTTTATGCTTTGAATGATACACAATTTGTTGGATTAACAACTTTGTACATGGTACTAAATATTTTTCCCAATCAAGATGCAAACTTTCTTAACCCATTACTTCATGAGCATTTTGTGAAAAATTGCTGTTTTCATTGAAAAGTCTCCCGTTACAAGTTCAAATTGCTATAATACTATAAAAACAGCTTCAACACTAATCAAACTTGGCACAAATGTTAACTGGACCATTGCCCTTGCAACAACATGCTCAGGCTTAAATTTTCTGTTACCATGGCAACGAGGGGACATCTTAAAATTGCCCAAAATCACTATTTTGCCTCGATTTTTTCAATCAAAATTGATTTCAAAGTGATGCCACTTCTCAATGGATTGAGATATAGTCAAATGCTTTTCAGCGTTGGTTACACGTTACCTTATGATCAATCTGGGGTCATTTACAGCCTCTCACAAGTCCAAAATTTTCTTGGCATAATGCTTAGAATGGTTTCACACAGGTCAGTAAGACCGGTGTACACAAATTACTGTCTGCACATATGTGTCAGAAAAAAAATTCACAAAAAAGGAATTTAGTATTACTATGAGTATTTATTAAAGAAATTGTATTTCAAATATATTTAAATAGTATTATTGAAGTCATTTTCTATGACAGACACACAAATCTAGTGCTCTGCATTATAAATGTAAGAAGAGACAAATAAGATAAGCATTTTTTTGCAAATTATTGCACTTCATATAATTTTTATTGCTTTTTTTTTTAAGGTGGACATGTGTCACTGTCAAGCGAATGAAGATAAGCATCACACTTGGTGGGAATCTCCAGTTTCCAGATGTAGTGATCATAACTGTATAGGCACCATTAACACTTTGGACTAGTTGGAGTATTTTAGAGGGCTAGTCTGAATTGAATCCCCTGTCAATAGTAAAGGCCAGTCATGAACATTGTGTTGAAGGAAAATGTTAAAACTCGGATTTTCCTCTTAACCAATCATTACTTTACCTTATATTCAGTGCGGTAATGTAGGAAATGGTTACTTTCTGGAACGAAGCTGTCAATTATTTTTAATTTTTTAGCTTGTTAGTTTTATCGTCGGACAGTTGTGAAGTAAAGACATCGCAGTTTGACTGTAAACTATACAAGTTGCCTTAAAGAAAGTATGTCGAAATCTTAACAGTTATTGGTTTGATTTTGTAGAAATTGACCAGAATTCACCTTTGTTTACACGCATCGCTTGGACGTCGAAAACGACATGCAATGACATTTCAGTGAAATTTGGAAACTTGCTCGTATTTTGGAGCATTTTTGTAGGATTTCGATGAAGTAAAAAGTGTTTATGATAGGATACATTATTCCTAGAGACAACCACAAAGATAAAATAGTGATCTGGTGTATTTTTACCGAACAGTTCTTGTTTGTTTTGCATGATATTTTTCTCTCGTTAGGGACCTTTATTCTTTATATATAGTATTATGAGCGTATATGGGTAAATGTGGTATATAGTGCCTGTGGTTTTTAACATGTATCTTAGCTTGCCTGGTGTAATGATAAGTAATAAACCTGAAGAATTGAAACTATGAGAATAAATTGTTGTTATTAGTCCCCTTCTATTTTCATTAAGAGGGGACTAAAGGCTGACCCATTTCTGTATGTCAATGAAAGCTGAATTTTGCTATAACTTAAATGGTACAAAAGTAAGGTTCATCATACTGGTATCTGATATAGAACTATACAGAGATTAAGCATGTTATTATAATTTATGCTCCTGAAAGGGAGAGAATATAGTTGCGGTCTTAACCATCTGTCGGTATGGACTCAAGTCATATTCTGGATAAATATCTGTGTTCATTCCTTACAGACTTGTACTTTTGGGGAAAAAGGTTCCTCATGGGAGGAAAATATGTTTTTAATGGTGTTTTTGAGATTTTAGTTGATAAAGGAAAAAAAACATAGTCTGTACTTAGGAAGACATTTGTCCTTCACACTCTTGTCCGAAATATGAATATAACTAGATATGTATTGAAGGGATTTTATGTAAACTTCACAAAGTGATAGAGACTTTTAAGAGGAAGTGCAATGTTCAAGCAACATAACTCTACCTTGCTTCATGTTTTAATTATATCCCTTAAGTTAAAAATGCTTATTCCAAACTATCAATGAATCTACATCAACTTGAACGACTCGAATTTTCCAATGTGTCAAAGAACCATAACTCCATTCCTTAGTTTTAAGCTCACCTGTCACAAAGTGACAGGTCAAGCTTTTGTGATCCCTTTTCGTCCGGCCGTAAACTTTTACTTTAAATGACATCTCCTCATAAACCACTACGCTAATTTCATCCAAACTTCACAAGAATGTTCCTTTGGCTGTCACCTTTAAAATTGTGCAAAGAATTTAATTCCATGCTGAACTCTGGTTTTGCCATGGGAACCGAAAGAAAAAAAACTTTAAATATCATCTTTAAAAAAAAAAACCTAAGAGCTAGAGCTTAGATATTTGGCTCGAAACATCCTTATAGTGGTGTCTACCAAGTTTTTTAATTAAAAAGCCCTGGGGTCAAAATTGGCCCCGCCCCAGGGGTCATTGATTTTCCCTATGTGCATATAGTAAAAACTTTATAAAATCTTCTTTTAAAAAACCCATAGAGCTAGAAGCTAAGATATTAAGCATGAAAACATCATCTAATGAGTGTTTACCAAGTTTGTTCAAATAAAAGGCCCAGGGTCAAAATTGGTCCTGCCCAGTGGGTCATTAATTTTCTTTAAATGCATAAAGTAAAAACTTAAAAAAAATCTTCTTTTTAAGGAACTAAAAGAGCTAGAGCTAAGATATTTAGCATGAAATATCTTCTAAGTGAGTGTTTACAAAGATTGTTAAAATAAAAGCCCTGGGGTCAAAATTGGTCCTGCCCCCAGGGGGTCATTAATTTTTCTTTAAATGCAAATAGTAAAAAACTTAAAAAATCTTCTTTTAAAGAACCCAAAGAGCTAGAGCTAAGATATTTAGCATGAACATCTTCTAATGAGTGTCTACCAAGTTTGTTCAAATAAAAGCCCTGGGGTCAAAATTGGCCCTGCCCCAGGGGATCATTGATTTTCCCTATATGCATATAGTAAAAAACTTCAAAAATCTTTTTTTAAAGAACCCAAATAGCTAGAGTTTATATTATAAGTGGAAACATCTTCTAGTGAGTGTCTACAAAGTTTGTTCAAATAAAAGCCCTGGGGTAAAACTGGCCCTGCTCCAGGGTTGTCATCGTTTTAACAGTATGTGTTAGTAAAAAACTTAAAAAAAACTCTTCTTTAAAAAAACCCAATTAACTAGAGCTTTGATGTTTAGCATGAATCATCTTCTTATGGATGTGTTCCAAGTTTGTTCAAATAAAAGCCCTTGGGTTAAAACTGGCCCTGCAGGGTGGGGGGGGGGGGGTATATACAGGTGAGCAGCCTCAGAGCCATCATGGCCCTCTTATTTAATTATCTACCTTTATTATACATGTACTTAATTATGCTTGTCCAGAGAAATACTGGAAAAGAGTTGATGAAATTTGATTAAACTTTTACACAGCGAAAATAATCAAGTGAAAGAAAGTGTTTTTTCAAAAGAACCCTAATTTTTGTGTCCCCTTGAAAAGGTGACATAATAGGGGTTACTTTTGTCGGCGGCGTCTGTGTCGTTGTCGGCGTCCCCTAAAGCTTGTCCGGAGCATAACTCAGTCACTATAAGTCTGATTGACTTCAAACTTGGTATGCATGCTTCTTTTAATAACCCGAAGTGCAGTGCACAAGGACCGTACTTCTGCAGTTCTTATTTTTTGAGTTATTGCCCTTTGTTAATTTTCATACTTTAATTTTGTCCGGGCCATTTCTCTTCAACTAAAAAAGCTATGGACTTGATACTTCATAGGATGATAGATCTCATTAAAGAAGAAGTGCAGTGACAAGAACCAGTACTCTGTACTTCCTAATTTTTGAGTTATTGCCCTTTCTAATTTTCATATTTTATTTTTGTCCGGGCCATTTCTCCTAATGAATAAAAGCCATGGACTTGAAACTTCATAGGATGATAGGTCTCGTTAAGAAGAAGTGCAGTGCACAAGAACTGTTACTCTGCAGTTCTTATTTTTTTGAGTTATTGCCCTTTGTTTATTTTCATACTTTAAATTTTGTCCGGGCCATTTTCTCCTTAAGTATAAAAGCTATGGACTCAAAACTTCATAGGATGATAGATCTCATTAAGAAGTGCAGTGCACAAGAACTGGTACTCTGCATTTCTTATTTTTTGAGTTATTGACCTTTGTTGATTTTCTTTCTTTATTTTTGTCCTGGTCATTTCTCCTCAAGTATGAAAGCTATGGACTTGAACCATCATAGTATGATAGATCTTATTGATAAGAAGTGCAGTGTTCAGAAACTGCTGCTCTGAACTTATTATTTTTTTAGTTACTGCCCTTTGTTATTTTTCATATTTCATTTTTGTTCCTGGCCATTTCTCCTAAACTACATTGTTCACAAGGTGACACATCGACTCGCGGAGTTCTAGTTTCTAGCTTAATTTTACAATTATCATCTCTTTTAAAATACATGTTCAACAACTTTAAAAATAATGGTTGTCTAGAGTAAATCTTTTCAATGATATCACACTCAAACTAAATACAGTTGTAGAGACTAGTGAGCAGAAAGTCTTGTGTCAAATAACCAAAATTCTACATTACTTAGTTTTTGAATTATCTCCGTATATATTTCATGATACTGTTCTGAGAGAGGATTAAAATATTGAAGGAATTTGATTGAAACTTTATAAAACGTTATACAGTGAAAGAGATTAGCATGAGAATTGCAGTAAACAAAGGCCATTATAAGTTCTAATGACATGGTCACATTCATATAATGTGATGCAAAAAATATTGACCATTTGAGTGTTTACTTGATACCGATTCAGAAAATTTGATATATATCACAATTGATTATTTTTTCATAGCTTTGTCTCCCTTTATAATGTCATGTGTTAAAATAGTCAAGCTTGCTGTTTCCTCTGGTAGCTCTAATTTCACTTGTTGCTCTTGTCAAAAAAGGCCAATAACGGTTTATGATCGACCTACACGTACATGTAACCTAAATACTATATTTGAACATGTGTGTCATAGAATAATTGTATCAACTACTGTTCATTTACTGAATTTTGCACTTTATATTTATCACCCGGCAACACCCTTCACTCATTGAATTATCTGCCCCGAAATAGAAAAAATAGTTATTTGATCCTTCATACGTCCCAACTGCAGTGCCTTCAGCACTTTGATTTTTTAACTTGGCGTCACTTAAATAGCTGAGCATTAGTTTGACATACGTTGGATACACACATTTGATTTATGTACGCTGTGACAATAATATGTAAACAAGAAGTATCTTTCAAAAAGATACTCGGCCGAAGTAAAACTGGTTAATATGCAAAATTATGTTATTTCTTAGTTTTCAATGTAAAAAGAAATGTTAATAATACTCGCATAACAATGAATGTCATAAAAATTATTTCTTGTAGCTAAGAAATTACCCATTTTGTAAACATTGAAATTTAATTATAGCATATCGATATTGATGATTTTTCAAAGTAGGACAACTTCTCTTTAAGGTGTCCCTTTTACTTGTTTTACGTTTGACTTTATAATTTTTGTAAGCATTTACAAATTAACGTAAAAGTTTAAGAACTATACTCATTCCTGTATATTTTTTAACTATTCTTTACATTTCATTTTATGGTGGAAAAACTATTCCTTACATTTTCTTATTTTTTTTTAATTTAAAATAGTAAAAACTATCCTTTACATGGTTAAAACTGTCCTTTACATTTTATTTTAGAATGACAAATGAGATTAATCGATTTCAGTTTGTAATTTAAAAATGACCAATGAAAATTATTCTGATATTCAGTTCTTCCTTGTTAATTTTACCTTATATCAAACTGATAACAGACCGACTTCGTCCGAAAAAACGTATTTGCACGATTTTATATTTTTGCTTCATGCTAAAAAACGTATCTTAAAATGATGGAAACAATAAATTAAGCATAAAGTGTTGTCTGTACACAGAAGACTTGTCTACAAACAGTATAAACGCTTCCGAGAGGGAGACGAGTAACTGAACGGCCACGGAAGGACAAGCATGCAAATGGATGCAATGTCATAATTGTAGGAAGACCTACGCTTATCTTTTGGGTTGTTACCGAACATTTAGGCTACATTCACAACGCAATCTTACAGAATACAGTAGAACTTTACATGAACTAGATCGGTTCCGAGGCTCCCGGCGGACGAACAAATGTATTCACTCTGTACGTTATTTTGAGTGGATGCGATAATATAATATGTGCAAGATGGGGTCGTTTGTGTGTATCGCCGGTCGCATGCATGTTTTATTTAATTAACCCATTACTTCTTGAGCATTTTGTGAAAAATGGCTGTTTTCATTGAAAAGTCTCCCGTTACAAGTTCAAATTGCTATAATACTATAAAAACTGTTTCAACACTAATCAAACTTGGCACAAATGTTGACTGGACCATTGCCCTTGCAACAACATGCTCAGGCTTAAATTTTCTTGGCGATGAGGGGGACTCCGCCCCCCTTCAAACCCCCAAACAGAAGGGGGCACATCCCCCTTCTGGCAACCCCCTGATGTATCTTTTGGTCGGGGGGCCGCGCCGAAAAAGAGGTCACTTTTTTTAACAACATTTCTCAAACAAAAACAAGTGTTTGGGGCCTAAATAAGGCATTTTTTCATCATTTGAGACAACAAAAAGGGGGGGGGGGTGAAAAAGGCGTAAAGGCGTGTATATGAAGTAATGGGTTAATCGTTTGGTTTATGTACCCCAGATTTATATGCTATATTTTAATAGATTTGCCCTAATGTATATCGGCATTTGTTTGTTTGTTTTGGGTTTTACGTCACACAGACACAGTATAGGTCATTTGGGGACGTTCCAGCTTTACTGGTGGAAAAAGACCCCAGATGCCCTTCCTTATGCATTATTTCAGGCATGAACGGGCACCTGAGTAGAACCACCGACGTTCCATAAGCTAGCTGGTTAGCTTCCTCACATAAAAGAATCCAAAGTCCCTGTCGGGATTCGAACCCACAGCGGTGAGGGGCAAGTGGTTGTATACCGACATAGCTGTTGCACTGTTCCTACAAAACGCAAAATAAACGCTGTAACAAGTAAAATGGTTTCCTGCGGGGAACATTTTTAATGATATAAAGATATTTCATTTAACTATTTTCAACATTGTTTGGGGGATAAATAAACGTTTGTATCAGGAATATAGTTGACAATAATCGATCAAGATAGAAGAAGGTCTTTGGAAACTGGTGACCGTTAAAGACCTGAGACCGGAGAAGGTCGAACATAAAACAATTATTTCTTTTTAAGAAAATGATTAAATACCATTTTCTGAATAATTCCGGACAAAAAAATTAAAGTAAACACACAAGTTTACGCAGAAAATATCTCTATTTAGTATGGCAGATGCCACTACGAATATTTTAATTTTGTAGATTTTCAGTATAAACAATTTATTGTTTGAAAAATTTGAGATTAATATTAAAGAAACATTGATAATTTTCAAACACATCATTCAAGTTTTTTCACCTTAAACGGTAAAATAATTATAGAAAATTAGAAATATCACGTAATTGTAATTGTTTTTGTTGTTAATTAGGTGTAATTCGGACTAATTCCCTAGAGGTAAATCCGTAACGTACCGGCAAACGGTATTTAGCTAGGTTTTCGAAAAGATCAATTAACCAATCATGTACGGTTTACGGATCACATGCTCCTCCATGTACCGAAAACAGGTCACGTGCTCCTCCATGCCTCAAAAGTTAAACGCGTACCAATACACTGCGGTCTTCAGACCGCAGGGAACAAAACTGTAAGGTTACGACTGGTAACGGCTTGTTTCATTACTGGTTATCTATATGTTCTACGAGTTAATGTTGAAAATATCTTAAGAATATGCGTATGCGTGTGTAAGTCTGTTTTTTTTTTAAATGTTACAAATGTAACAATGCCCATTATGTCCAAGAAATGCTTTTATTTTCATGTCTCAGGTTTTTAGTTTCTTAAAAGTTTCTTATTGGCTTATTACCTAATAAACGTAATTTTCTTCTATTGAATTTTAATAAGTATTTTGAGTGGGAATCAAAATACTACTTTGTTTACATTTTGCTACTTTTAGGATAAATAATTTCACATAAAGTGCTACTTTCGTCAGGTATCGATCGTCTATCATCATGCTCTAGAACCGTGTTTGAAACGCTATAAAATCTTATGTATGTCTTCCTAAAGAAGTAAACATTTATTCGTTTCTGAGACATACTATGCCTTTATGTTTTACTTTGCAATTAGTTTAATGAGTACATCTATATAAAGTTCAGAATATATACAATGTACATTATCAAAAAATAAAATAAACCTTTTGGAACAAAACAGTATTCCTATTCTCTTGCTTGATAATTCAAAAAAAAGACCCGTTTACTTAAAACAAAGAGACACAATTGTTCAATAACTATATCTTATTAATACCATATCTCACAGTGATACAGTGACTCATGATCACACAAAATGTATAACATAAGACAAACTACATGAGAAAAGACCACTCACTTCACTGATTGATCAACAATTTATTTCATCAACAATGTTATAACAAATTCAATCAGACAACAATGAAATTACTTAGTTTGTAAAGAAACCGTGTATGTGAAAAAATACAGTTACATTTTTCACATAAATTAATCCGTGTACTTTTATAAGATAGGAATGCAAAAGAGAAAGCTAATATGTAAAATTTGCATTACAAAATAATGAATAGATTTCAAATCGTACTTATATTTAAACATGTATGAACACTCTTTTATTTAATGCTTTCCAGTGTTTTATTACAATATATCAGATGATTATATTCTGATAAACCACTAGTGAAATTTATAAAATATAATTTTCACTGTAGCCGGACTATATCTGAATGCGGATGAAAAGAAAATCATAACCAAATGGAATAACAGGCAGAAATAAATGCCGTCATACGTAAATTTGCTTAATTAGGAAAAGAAAGTCAATGTAACCATACATCATGTTAAAAATTTAACAAAATTAGAGAAATTTAACAGAACTATATTTCAAAACTTATGATGTGACGTCATGCTATCATGACGTCACAAAGGAGAATGCGCGACGTTACGCGGCAAAATCAGTAAAAAAATACTTAAAATCACTTAAAAAGCATAAAATAAAAAGAAAATTTATTTGTTTTACATATAAGATTGAAATATATTTCATTCGTGAACACCAGCTATTATATTTTCACTCGTGGCTACGCCACTCGTGAAAATATTGCATCTGGTGTTCACTCAGTGAAATTATATTTCAATCTTACATGCTAAACAAACAAATATCCTCTATATCATTCTGTGAACAGTAATAAAATAATTAATATTTAGGAAAAAGAAACTGTTATCTCAAAAACAACTTCCAGCATACACATGTGAGAAATGTATACATCTTTTGTTCTAAAATGTGAGTTTCAAAATTTAAAGCGAAATATGTGCCTGCACATATCAATATAAATAGAAAATATTTCAACAAAACGGAATGATAAAAAATATGTATGTTGAAATAACATAGCTTTAAGATGAAAATGTGTCACGTGATATTCATTACATCATGGTGACTGTATTTCAGTTCAAGGTGATGTATACATCAACACTTATAAGTTCTTTATATAGGCAAGTTTTGTCTGAGATATAACGTTTGCTGTTATTATTTTATCCAGTATATATTTTGAACTTTGTAAAGCAGTTATATCGCCATTGTTCTTGTGAGATGATATTGATAGATTCGTTATATATCTAATCATTGATACACCACGTATATTTTTAAACTTTTCCATGAATTGTCATGTAGTTAGTTACCATGCATGTAACGTAACTATGCATCAAACACATCACATTTGCTATAAACTTTTAATTTACTGATTAGCACTTTTGTCAACATAAGGATTATATAATATAATAGTATAATTATATTCAAATCATTAAGAAAGCTTTAAATGAAAAAAATAAACCCATACATACCATGAATGGTTGCAAACAAACATAAAATCACTCATAAAAAACTATCATAAAAATAAATACATTTGTACAATTGCATTGACATTTGCATTGACTTATGGAAAGTAAGTATAAAGAAAGAAATAACAAACAGGCATAAAACAACGACTGTAACAAAGTTCAAATAAACAAAAGTTACGGAAATATCATTACTTAATATTAAAATTAAACAAATACGACATAGACAATAGTTATGTTTTGTAAGAAAACAGAAAATAAACAGGTTTCCTTCTGATTACGTACAGCCTTTGGTCAAAGCATAGAGACGTCTTATAATATTGACGTTCTTTGTTTACATTATGCAGCAAACTGATAAAAAAAATAAGAAACTGGAAAATATGTGATTTTAATTGGACATAAAGTTTCATTTAATTCATTGTCATGAGGAATTTAATTCTCTATTTTCAAATATTAGATACTGACATAAAGCTGGAATTAAGATATGGTCCCGGTATATCACAGAACGCCAGAAAAGATATTTCAGGCATCAACCGATATGTGAGAAATCAAAATTTGTCCATTTGTTTGTTCGTTCGAACACTCTTAATACTGCGACAATAACATTGAGCGACAACTTCGTTATATCTAAGTTGACCCATAAAAATCTGTTCTTATATAAGTGTTTTAAGAACCTCTTTTGTCAAACCTCGCATAGGATATCCATTCTTGAAATCCATTCTTGAAATTGTGCTACATTTCATGGGGTTTTTGAGGTACAAACCTCATTCCTATAAAGAAAAGGATCAAGTATATAACACATGAAGATCCCATCACTACACACGCCTCCCACACGGAATTCCCTTGCAGAGAGTAACTTTCTAACGCCATCGTGCCGTTTCTTATACATGACCCCGGAATGGCGTCATCACAGTTGAATTCCAAACTTTGAATTTGTACTTTACATAATGCTTGAAAGCCCCATTTTAGAAGATATTGGGACACTGACGACACCCATTTCAAACCTGAAATAAAAAAAAAAAAAATTTTAAGATTCAAGGGATACACTATTCGTTTCAAATAATACAAATTAGACAAATAAAAAAATAAAATAAAGTAAAACGTCAATTTGTCCCATTCTTTTCCCCGGAACACTTCTTTATAGACTTGTCACATGCTTTCTGTTCAATATTTTACAAGGAAATAGTGACAAAAGAAATACAAATCAAACAATGACCTTTAAAGTGATATTATGCTCATTATTTTATTGGCAAGTTGAGCTGAACTGACTATATATTTTAAAACATTGACTGTTACAATGTTGGATGACCAACGGTTTATATTGTGAAATGTGTCCGATAAAATATGATCTGCCTAAAATATAAAAACTCTGCCGTACTTCTTTAAACCTAAAAAATACAGGTTGGTTCTGACCAATATTTATAGAAATTTCCTTGGGCCATATGTGATATTTATCATTCATGCGAAGTAAATTATAAAATTGAATGGAATGGTGCTAAAATTTAAATTTATTTTGACTTTCACCTGTTCACTCACTATAAACTCTTGGATGAACATAAGTTCATTGTAATACCAAACGAATTAAATAGTAATCTAATGTTTAATCTTATGAAAGGGAAACGTAATTCCACCCAAAATTTATTTTCAAATTTGATAAAGAACCCTGCCAACAAAAAATATACATGGAAAAAATTTTTTTTGTCCCAAAGAAAAAAAATTTTGGAAATTTTGGCATAAACTGCTGCAGAAAACAGGGGCAAAATGTTCTACGTACGGGGATATACAAGAAGGAAAAATTTTTTTCGGAAAACCAACTTTTAAAAGTTTTTTTCAACTTTTTCAGCTTTGGGCCCGTTTATAAATTTCACCGGAACCTCCCCATACACTGCCCCAAAAGAATTTTTAGGGAAGGGGGTTAACTGGGCAAAATTTTATCTAAATCATAATAAATTTTTTAATGAATATAATTTTGAAATTTACGGGGGCTTTGTTTATTTTCACAAAAAAACATTTTGGGAAAAATTGTTAGTCATTTTATACTTTTATTACTGTTGTACAATAATGTTATGAATATTCTAAAAGAGGAAGAAAACAATAAATAAAAATGTGGAGTAAAACGTCAACCATACCTTTGCAAAATAATACGGCGTGACTCCATACAGTCGGTCCTCTAGTTCAAAGTATAGAAAAGACCGCTCTTTATGATCTACAAAAGCGAAATAAGATATTAGTATATTAATAAAAAAACAACAACCCAAAACAGTCAAGGAGAGCGTTGTCCTAGCAGTTATGGTTTTAATCTCAACCCAAAGACCATACTCAGCTGTAAGAACATGTTTCCTCACATGACATCAATATCTTAGATATTCAAGGGAGCGGACCAATATACGTAAATGAAACTAAAATGGCTGAGTTTCTTATTCAAGATAAACTAATCTACAAAGAATGCGATAATTGTCAAATATTGAGTTATGTTTCTTATTATTGCAAAGTACTCAACATTTTGGCACGGAGATTGTTGTCGAATGTGGCCATGTCTTTAGATATCTTGTCCTTTCTTAAGAAAACAGCATATTGTTTGTCTTCTTAGAGAAATCTTATAAGACATATTATACTTTTTACTCTGTTCATATGTTAACACATTCTCCATAAAATATAAATATTCACCGTGCATTCAATTTTAACAGACACATATATAAAACTTGTTTGCAAGCCTTTTGCTTTTGATTGAATTGATTTGATTAAGAATAAAAAAAAAACAACACAAAAGTGTTCCAAATATGCTAATTTGATTTCAAGAAATAAAAAGGCTTTTAATATTAAAGACAACAACAAAAGAAGAATTCGTTTAGAAACTTACACAGTCCGATGAGGTCTAAAACGACCATATATGGATATAAGGCACCAATAATATACATCATCCCAAATCTGTCCCTCACTGATGATTGGTCAAGGCCCAGATTAAAATAAACAAACCCAACAACCACTGACATAGCAACCGCTTGTATGAACTGCGTTGCCAGGTAACCGTAATCTTCTACGATATTCCTCGTTGATCGTCTAAAAACCAAAGAAAAAAACCCACAAAATATTGAAATATTGATTCTGTTTTTACTAGTTATGATATACACATGTATAGAATATACGATCTTGAAGTTGGAACTAAATACAGCTTTCTTCAGTCCTTTTCAAACTTTAAAACACATAGGCACAATCATATATCTATATTGAAATCAGATTGCGTTGTAAAATCTGGAAAAACGGTGATCCCTCAGAAGCATTAGTAACAACAATATAACAAAATTGCAGATGCGGTTTGATTCAGTCTGTGCATGAAGGATAATGAAAAAGTGCAACATCTCTCATGCCCCCTAGCTCATGAGATGACATTCAAAGCTTAGTTATGTCTAAAACACATTTGGTGAATTATACATAATTCAAAAAAGTGTCATTCCAGTAACATAATGTACATATATAGATATTGATATATAAAACCTCTTTTTCATTTTATTTAGTTTCGCACATTGTTTATTCGTTTTGGGCATACGCATTTTTTTTACTCCAAACGGGACCATGTGCCGCTTTTCATGCAATAGCACGAACGTGTCACATTGAAGGTTTCATGATGACCGCCTTACAGACACATCTGCGAATGTTTCTAAATTCACAATTTCACCATCATGTTCAAATATTGAATTCTTCTTAAGTCGGTGTGAGGGGCGTACTTTAAGTACCGTCCATGATCAGCAAACATTTCAGTCTGCAACATTTTACAACTGTGCCATTTTGGACGTTCTTCAGGAATTCCTATATTTGATATACTATGTCAGGGCATAATATTATACAAGATTTTTCAAAGAACGATTATTTCTTGCATTGCAATACAATTATTTACATTTTCTTAATATGCATTTAATGTTTATATCATTAACTATCTCAGCAGACACATGTCAGAAATGACATTCTTTGTATTAATTCGCCTTAAGTATTTTATCCGCCTTAAATCCGTATTTGAGGGATTCCTTCTTTACTTTTTATATTACCTGTAAAGTATCCAGAACTGTCTTAACGGTCCTGGTTGATGTTCTAGGTTTCTGAACATCGCCAGCACAGGCCATTGCTCTTTATTTTTCTCTTCCTTATCTTTACTAGTTGACCCACTTCCAGTTAGTTCTTTCTGACTGTCTTTGTAAGCTTTAACCAAGGTTCCAACCATCTTTGTACTGTTAACCTCGGACTCCTCAGATGTCGGGTCGATCGTGGCGAGGTCAACTATGAATACATGTAAATATGATTAAAGTATTTTAAAACAGCTATTGTTACATACAGATCTAGATAAATATAAACATGTATCAATCCTCATCAAACCCAAAAGGGCGAACCGTAATGCCCCGCTCACATATTCACGGATAATGCCACGGAAGAGCTACGGTCCAATCGTTCACGGATTACTACGGAAATGTGAAATTCCGTAGTTCCGCTACGGTTCCAGTACGACACCACACGGATGAGTACCGGGAGTCCGACGGATTTACCACCAAAAGCCCCCAGAGAGACACGGATTGTTACGTACCAACACGATTTGATACGGAGCGACACGAATCTGACGGACGCACTACGGATGACACTACGGTCTTCTACGCGTATAAGCACGGGTTTAGTACGAATAAGTATGGTCTGATACGGAGAAGAACGTAATTAGATACGGAAGAAGAACGATTGCCACGGATCTATACGGGACCTAATACATCCGTCCACAACCTCTTGCTTGCTCATTTTCAAAATGCCTCAAAAGAAAAGAAAACACCTAGAAAACGATTGCAGTGTGTCAATGATTTTGCGGAGAGGACTCGGCCTAATCGCGTCCGACCCCCGAGACACATCAGTCCGATTTAAATGAATTTCATCGCTCAACAAGTTCGGCCATTGAGAGCCTCATACTAAACTTGAAGCGGTTCTTCGTAAAAAGCCCATTCTCTAGCTCCACCACCTCGTCTGTCTCTCTACCTGATAGATATGGACTAGTAATCATTCAAAAAATGTTGATCAATACTGTTCTCTTCTTAATTTAAGATTTGTCTGTTAATCTTACGATTACCATTAAAATTATCGTGAAGTTTTTGTTTTGAAAAAAATGTAAAAAGCTTGTTGATTAATCTATTATCCGTCAAGTGCCAGCCTCCAGGCCGTATGAGACACTTCGTATTATTACATATTTACTCCAATTTCACGATTCAACGTTTGTAAAATATGAACATTAAATGTTATTCTATACTTACAATTGTAGTCGATATGAATATAAATTGACTTTTATGTAGTCATCAAGCAGCTCGACCACTGCCTCGCCACATTCTGAGCCATTTCAATATAAAGCTGCAGCCAGTAAATGCAATACATTATTAAATGTCTCCGCAAATATTGTCGTTCTTTAACAAGAAGGTAGGCATTTGATACCTGAAAAAGTACATGATATTAATTCATCCGTACTAAACAGTGGGACCGTACCAATTCCCGCTTGACCGTTTCGTTTGCAACGCAAGAACCGTATAAGACCGTGCGATCCTTACCACTCTCCGTAGTACAACGGTATTACGATCGTGGGCTTTCCGGACAATGCGATTAATCCGATTAAAACCGTTACTTATACGTAGTTGTAACCGTACAAATACGTAGTTCTCCGTACAAAACCGTGGAAATCCTTGACAAGTTGGTGGCTACGACATCAGTACGCGACTAGTACGGTTTTAAGTACGGAACGAGTACGTGTCAGTACGGAAGTTAATAACGGACTGAGTAGGGATACGCTACGGTTGATTTTTCGCGTTCAAAATTTTTGTGCATGTTCAAAATTGTCATGGATTGCACGGATATACCAAGGACTTACTACGATTGATTACGGCTTACCAATACCGGAGAGCTACTGACCAGTACGGGTAGCTACGGACCGATGCCGGACTTAATCCGGGCTTCTTCCGTGGGGCGTATTCCGTAATATTGTTTGACCGGGGTATTAATATTTCGTTTTCGATATCTATCGCATTTTCAAAGATCAATGCATTTCAATTATGAAATAAATTTGAAGAAGAAACCCAACTTGTTTGGTATACAGTTTTACTGTATAATTGCATCATTTCTATGTTATCTATTTATGTAAAATGTATAATAAATCCGGTATTATACATTGTATATCAACAATTCAAATTTCATAACCACAAACCAAATACTAGTATTAGATTATTGATAGGTGAAGGGAAAATAATCACAGTATATATTTATATTACACACACGTTATTTTATCTATAATCAAACCATGTTACCGTAGAGTCACATGGGTTTGTGAATTTCTGGACAAGGAATGTCCGAAGATTACTGAAGTAATTGACCATATTTGATGCCTGCCGCCCCCCCCCATAGTACGCCATCTGCGCCTTTTGACAGTACCAGACCACCATATCAAACAATTCAATATAGCAGAGGATCTGTAAACATTATAATCAACATAGAATTGTTGTGTGTGTCAAAATATGTTAGATACCAAAATTAAAAACTTTCAAAATGTAATAAGAAATGTATGATTTCAACAAAAAGAAAAAATGTGTGAACTGCTACTGATTGGTTAAATGTTTAACAAGTGAAATGAATGTGTTCTTAAAATATGAAACATGACACTTAACAATCAGCTTTCCAAACGCTGAAAATGTATGTAAGTGAATATCTAATAATAAATGTATTGACCATTGTGTTTTGATTAAAATGAAATCCGGAAAGCAATGATTCACCGTTACACATAATTCTTCATCATATTAATATGAAAGGTAGATTCCTAAACTTGATATTATTCAAACATACAATAAATTATTCGACAATTATCTAAAAGCTAAGTACTTAATTCAAAAAACGCCATGCTATCAAAATGTCTCAAACGATTGTTCTAGTGAACAATTGAAGCAGACGGTAAAATTTTTTGATTACGTAATACCCTACAATCAGACAAAATCTCTACCAGACACTTGCATCAGTCTGTAAAATGCCCCGGCATGTTCTAGCCTAAATCTCCTCTAAATATGGTAATACACCCTTTAAAGAGTATAATTATCGTAAACGTTTCAAGATATCTCAAGGGAATGAACTCATTAATCGTTCATACATATGCAGCTGTGGTAATGTATTGGATATCTATGATAGCATATCGGAGAATTGTTATAGTTTTGTTATCTTACTTAAACTGATTTAAATAAATGTGCCCGCGCCTTGATCAGGATCCATGATGTTCGTTATCACTTCATCCTGACTTGTAATATGTTTGTGTAACGCGAACACATGGATCTTATCAGACTGCGGGATGCGCAGGCTGTCTGGATCCATAGTGGTGCGCAAAACGCTTTATGTTCGGGCGTTTGTTATGGGCGGGCTCAAATGGCGCTGATGTCATGCTCGCGTGATCAGTAGTATTCGTTCATTTCTCTGCTGATGTCCGAAAAATCATCAACCATTAAACAACTGCATTATTTCTTATATGGATTTGCCAGTTCATCGGAACATCTCGCTATTATTCGTAATCACATACACAAATACGGAATTGAAAGTAGTTCTGACGCTATTTTAGATGTAAGGCAAAAACAGAAGCTGTAATTTTGTTAATATAGAAACGAAAGCGTTGTATTTTGAACATCCAGGAAAAATAATAAAAGTATCTACTTCCGGTATCATGATGATTGAAAATATGTTGACAATCATAAAGAATTTATAGAAAATGCCCAAAGGGTGTACATTTATAAACATATCCAAATTAATGTCAACAGGTACATGTACACATTTTGCTTCTTTTGGTTCCTTCAACCATAATAATAAGTTATTAATCATTGTAGTGCTTACTTTTAATCTATATATTTACTTAATTTAGGTGGACTTTTACTCGATATGTTGGTATAAAAAACTCAATAAACAACCCCAGCATAAATTGCATTTGTTCACATGTTTAGTTTCTTAGCGTAGGGTTGACGGAAATACCGTATTCCGTTCCCTGTGTGATTCTAACTATTGTGTTCGAGGTCCTTATCCAAAGGGTTGACGGAAAGGGTGAGAAGATGCATTTTGGTCCAGTTCTATTTTGAAACTGTCCATTTTCAAAATTTGGAGAATTAAGACGCCAAATTTCAAGTTTGATTAGTCTATCAGTATAGAGCCTGGTCAGACAAAGACTGGTGTGTACCAGACTGGGCATGGCTTCATAGAGGTGAAAAATGCTGATTACACTTCAGCTTCGAGCAGAGAAATGGTTATGATCGTACCAGGAACAAAAAACGATGGCTTTAAAATATAATTTTATCAATTTGTATGGTGAATATTACACTCATGGATGGTTAATAAGATTATTTTAGAATTCATTGTTGCAAGTGGTGAAAACTTTAAACCTTGCTTGCTTGTATAAGGTGATTACGTTATCACCTTCACTCAGTATGACCAGGGTTCTACACTGTTGATAGCTCCCATTTTTAATCTTTGATAATAAATCCCTAAAATTTTAACTAAAATGGACTGTTCCAAATACAAAAATTTAAAAATCAGGTAACTAGGGAATTATCTCTCTGTAATTACATAGTGAGCAAACGAAGTAATCATCAATCGGACTCGGCACAAAATTCACGTGATAACTTTCACACATGAACATATTTTTATCACACACAATTAGGCAAAGGATGGTGCTACAATACTGACCTTTGCTGATGTATTAAATAAGACTTTCGGTTATATTTTTTGGCAAAGTTTTGCCAGGTCATCTACATTTTATGGAGATTGATGAGCAGTGAAGGAATCAAGACCAATGTAGGTTCATCGAGAACAGAACACCTGAAATTAAAAAGAAATTTGATCTTAATACCATCATGTGAAAATATCTATTTCCTAAAGAATTTAAGACAGTACAAGCTTGTTGTAATAAAAAATGTCAAATTATTTTTCTACAATTGAAAAAAATCTTTTTAAATGATATGGGTTTGTAATGGGAAGTACGTTCCTATAATTGGTGATAATAAATAACCTCCAGTTTGATACTCATTGTTTGGCGTCATCAATATTTTGTTGTTTAAGATAAGTCCATTTGGCGTCAGCAAATGTCACCGGCTTGTTATATATGAGTCCAGATTTTATGTTATTAGTAAAAGTCGTGTTACCGAATACTCCTTCCTCTGATAAAAAATAGAATTTGAAAATGCGGGTTGGATTACAAGAATCTATATGGACCGTAATCGTATATATACAGTAATGAATACATAATATATATTTCCAAAAATCACAAAAACTTAAACGATATT